CCCACCTCTGGCTCACCCGTGGGATCGGGGCACACCAGCCTTCCCAAGAACATGTCCACATGCCACTACCTACATCATGCTCCCCCCCCCGCCCACGTCCCCACCCCCAGGCTGCCCGGCCAGCTTTCACGGCCCCTCAGACATCTGCTAACACAACAGTGGCTGCCTGTTCTGGGGCCTCCTTGTGCATGGGCAGCTGCACTCAATCAAACCTCTGTCTCAGCACCCCAACCCCTCCCTGGAAATGCCTTGCTTCTGTTTGAAACACTGTGGAAAAATAAAATTTGTTGCTCTTTCAAGCTGACTAGCTTGAAATCAAAATGCTGCAAGGACTATGATACCCGGGGGCAAGGCACTCCTGGTGATCTCATCAATTGCAGCTTTTCCTGAACTCTTCACTCACACTCATGTGATCCCTGTCTAAGCGGCCATGCCAGCTCAAGACCTGCTGGGAACCAACCAGCGCTCATCGTGCTAGATCTTGGAGAGCAGTAACTTAAAGGTCAGCCAACGTCCTGCTGATAAAACAGCTCATCTACTAGGTCGGCCCTGACTCGACCGACACGCTGTCATCTGCAAACAGAGTTTTGCTAGCCCATGCTAGGCCCACGGCGTGAGCAGGAACGCTGAGCAGGACCACAGCACACAGACCCCCAGGGCTGCCTCGGCAGCTTGTTCTGGAGTACCAAACAGCTGTCACTGCCCTCTGAGAGAACTTCCAGTCCCAAACCTGATGCCCTCACCCAGGATCCAGGCAGTTACCTACAACTGCATGTGGTGACCCTGCCCACAAACTCAGCCTAGGGGATTGAAGGAAAAAGGAGCAAAGACAGTCAGAGAGCCATTTCCATGTCCCTGCCCACTCTGTCTCACCTTCACCACCCAGAGACACAGCAGCCATGGCCACTGGCTGCCTGACCAGCTGGGCCCAAGGGATGTGGCTGGGAAGAGTGGGGAGGCTGGTAGGTCCCCAGGACATGTTCACCCTCATTTCAAGGCAAGAGACATAAGACAAGAATGCTCACACAGGGAAGGGACAAGCCCAGTTCTGCCCTGTCTCATAACCCTCAGCCCTGCACACGGAGTTGGTGTAGGCTAAAAGCTGCAGTGCAGGGCAGGTTAGCAGCCAGGCAGGCCTGCTTCCATTTGTAAAAGAAGACAGATGAGGCAAGAAGATGAGCAGATAAACAGGAGGTGGCAAAGCAGAGAAGGCAGAACAGGACAGAGGGAAAATGGGCAGAAAACAGGGAGTTCTTACCATAGCCTGGACAACAACCCTAGGGCACATCCACCTGCTGCTCTCAAGTCATCCACGGAAGTGCATGGCCTTCCTCGAGCTACAGCTAGAACAGGGATCCTAGGTAGGCTCAGGCAGTGCCCCTCTGCCTGCTGGTGCACTGGCATGGAGCGCTGGTGCACCGCTCCCACAGTGGCAACAGTAATGGTATTTGCAGCAGAGATGTTCAACATCTGCCAGGATTCCAGCTCCCCAGCCTCTCCTCTTTAACACCTGCTGCTTTGCTAGGATCTCCTTCCAAAGGAAGGCCCAATCATGAACACCAGGTCCAGAAGGCCCCTCCTGGGACCCTTTTCCTCAGGAGGGACTAAGTGAAGTCACACTGCCTCAAACACGGGCACTTGGCCCTGCTAACCCCAGGGGCACTGTAAACAAGTGGGGTCTTGCCCTCAGAGCTTCCTGCCTCACTGGCAGACTCTGGCTTCTCACCCTGGCCCCTTCCTGCCAACTGCAAGTTGTAGAGGCTGGCCTGCCATATCCTTCCAGCTGCTCATGCACTCTCAGGTCTGCTCTGGGTCCTAGCTCCAGGGAATACCTCCAGGTACTCCCAGAGTGCCCAGCTGCTCCAAAGCACTAACTGTAAAGGCACTTTACACTTCTATCCATATTTTTTAAAAATCTACCTACCTACCTACCTACCTATCTATCTACCTATTTATTTGAAAGTCAGAATTACAGGAAGAACCAAACAGTCTCCATCACTGATCTACTCCCCAAGTAGTAGCAACAGCCAGGAGCCAGGAGCTTCATCTGTGTTCCACACCTGAGTGATAGGGCTTTAACCAGGGAAGGAGCTGGATCGGAAGTAGAACAACACAGATGTAAACCAGCAGCGACATAGGATGAGGCATCCTTCATCAGGCACAACTGGGCTCCCACTTTACACTTTAACCTGAGGCTTCCTACACCTGTTTTCAGAAGGCATGAATGAACAGCTCCAGTCACTTGGTGGGGTCCTCATCTCAAAAGCAGTGTCTAAACCATAATCACAAGACCTACAAAAGGGAGACCCCTCCACCGCAGCCCCTGGAAGCCTGGGCCAGCACCGACCCCAGGTGCAAGTCCACCCACAAGCCTTCCTCTTATGGGAACACAGACTAACCTGCCTCTTAGTAACAGTTGGTCCCATCTCAGCCCCTCCTTGGCGACAAGCAGGTTGCCGTATCTATATCTGTATCCTGGCACCATGAACACCCAATCCAGGGCCCTGCACCATCTAGGAGCAGTCAGAGGCTCTACAGAGATGCACAGGACTTACCCAGGCCTGGTTTTGGGGTTCCCTGGAAAAGCACAGTCCATCTCCTTGAATCATCGGCCTGTAGGAGCCACGCAGGCAGAACCATGGACACTCATGGAGAGAGGTCTGGAGGGGGTGGGACGCCTGGTGGGGGATGGCTCAGCATCCAGAGGCTCCATCCCCATGGCACACTCACTTCCGATGGTCCATCTCTACTCTCCCGTGTCTTGTCCTTCTCAGGTCTTGCTGCCACATTATCAAGCCCAAGACAGGATGACCCAGACAGCCTCCCAGGCCTCAGAACGCCTTCCAGGTCTGGGAGGCCTGCCCCAGAGCGGATAAAGCAACCTATACATCCAGGCATGGCCCGACTCAGAGTAATGTTTTTCAGGTTTTACCCAAGTGAGGCCGGGAAATGTCTCCAGCAATGCCAGTGGCGTTATCCCAACTTGTGGCTAGTAAAATATAATAACATGTGTAAGCTGTTTTTACTACCACCTTAGCTTATTGGCTAATAAAATAAGCTCAGCATTAAGAATTAAGCTTGGGCCCAGCGGCATGGCCTAGCGGCTTAAGTCCTCGCCTTGAATGCGCCGGGATCCCATATGGGCGCCGGTTCTAATCCCAGCTGCTCCACTTCCCATCCAGCTCCCTGCTTGTGGCCTGGGAAAGCAGTCAAGGATGGCCCAAGGCCTTGGGATCCTGCACTCGTGTGGGAGACCCGGAAGAAGTTCCTGGATCCTGGCTTCGGATCGGCATAGCATCGGCCGTTGCGGTCACTTGGGGAGTGAATCATCGGACGGAAGATCTTCCTCTCTGTCTCTCCTCCTCTCTGTATATCTGACTTTCCAATAAATAAACTATTAAAAAAAAAAAAAGAATTGAGCTGAAGGCATTTATCACACCCAGAACCACCGCTTGAGCTTCACTCAGAAGTCACCCCCATCTGTCCCCGTGCAGCCTTCCTAGCTATTCACACTTCTCTGGACAAGAATATTCCTCGAGGGCCTGCCGATGGGTTTGACTATTGTCTACTAACAATGTCACAACACTCACATGCAGAGGAAAAAAAGGACATGCCTGTGGCCATAACAGAAGAAAGGAAAGTGGGACAGGGTGCAGGAGGTCTGTCCCCATGAGCACAAGAATAGCAGCAAGCAGTCAGAAACTTGGCTTCCGGCTGCCCCAGCTGGCCCCTAGGCTCTGCAGCCAAGGTGGCTCGAGACACTTTTGATAGGAGACTTAGGTCACCTGTCATCTCGAGGCTAGGCATTGTGGCATAGCACTTAAAGTTGCTACCTGTAGCACTGGCCTACAGCGCCCACAAGGGTGCTGGTGCAAGTCCCAGCTGCTCTACTTCTGTTCCAGGTCCCTGTCAGTGGCCTAGAAAAGCAGCATGGGATGGACCAAGTCGTTGGGTCCCTGCACCCACATCAATGATCCTGGCTTTGGCCTGGCCCAGCCTCAGCTGGTGTAGCCATTTGGTGAGTGAACCAGCAGATACAAGATCTCTGTCTCCTTCTCTAACTCTTCCTGTGTTGGCTGGGAGGAGAAACCCCCTGGGCACTCAAGGAGGTTGCTCATGATCACCCCACTGAGACCATTCAGCACGCTTATCAGCCCTGGATCTGGCTCTAGCCCCAACACAGCAGAATGGATGCTCATGACACACGGCCAGAAGCACGGTGGTCAGCTCATGGCTCCAGCCACAGAGTGCTCCTGGGATGCATGCAGAGCCCACATGGCCACATTCTGCCCAGAACTGCCACCTGTACTGTCATTAGCAGTCACACCCTGGGTCTTCCCATCCAGACTCTCCTAAAGGCGGGGCTCAACTCCAAGTTCAAATCAAGGCCCAATATCAGCACTGACAGGAGGCAGGGTTGCGAGACAGCCCAAGGAACAGGGGTTATGGCGAGTGGCTTCTCCTGCAGGGCAGAGCAAGAACAATGCCAGAGGCCACAAAGAGCATGGCATCGACCATTACTTGATGGCTGGCATGTTTAAGTCTAATCAAAGGAATAATCCCAGCCCCAGCTCTCACTCTCCAAATCCATTGCCCAGATCTCAGGATCAGCTAAGACCCAAGAGACCCTGGATCCCTGGGCCACTTCCTGCCATGGTCAGAGGGCACATTCCCAGGAGAGAGGGCTCCAGCACAGCAGGAGGGGATTACCAGCGCCTGATCACATGGCTCCACCCGTGAGGCCTGCCTCTCACCATCTGTCCTCCTATACCAACAGCATCGCCGAGCACAGGGAGAAAAGCATGTCTGATTTCAGAGAGAAAACAGACAGTTGAAATAATCTTCCTGTGAACAGGATTTGAAAACAAAGAAATTAACCCACTCTCGAGCATTCCTGAAACTGGTGCCAGGCACATGGTGGGGCTGGACCAGGGGCAGAGGCCCCGGGGATGAGGACCAAACTGCTGCTGGAGGCCCCCGCAGGCCGTGGGGGCTCTTACCTGGGCCATCTTGGCGAGGTCTAGGGAAGGCCTCTGCTCCTGCACATCCTCAGGGCGCCGCCGCTTCACGCCTATCTTCTTGTCATTCAGGACACATGGCTGGGAGCGGCTACGGGCCAGGCCACTGGAGCGTCTGGCCAGCTCCGGTGTGGAGGCAGGTGTGCTGCTGGCTGAGGGCGGGCAGTACTCCGCAAAGCAAAACTGCTCGTGTGAGCAGGAGAGGGACCGCTGCAGGTCCAGCCGGCCCCCTCCCCCAGAGCACGTGTCGGGGCTCCAGTTGTCAGCAGCCTGCCCACAGGGGCCCGAGCCCGGAGCCCCCTGGCAGGGTGGCCCCCCAAAGCGGTGGTAGAGTCCCGCCTGGTGGCAGGGAGAGGACAGCCCATTGGCCCGGGCAGGGAGGCTAAAGCTGGAGCTTCTCTGCATGGTGCCCATGCCGTTGGAATAACGCTGGACGCTGCCCCCACTGTAGCATCGCCTCTTTTCCACAGGAGTCCAGACCTTGGACCCCAAGGGCCGCCATGACGTCCGGCAGCTGGACATCTCATCAGAGAAGGACAGTGACCGGCACTGGCGCTTGCTGGGGGGCGCGGAGGGGTTCCCGTTGTGGTCGCTGATGCTGAGGTCTTTGATGAGGCTGGTCACAGCGCAGGTGGTCACTGCCTCACGGTGCCACAGGGAACCATCCTGACACTTTTCAGGCAGGCACTCCCAGATGCTGGCGCTCGACTGGTCAATCTGAAGAGGGCATTTCCTATCCAGGTCTCGCCATCTGTCATTTTCTGGTTCACAAATGACAAAGAGAAAGCAGGACTTGAGAAGGCTTTCACACCGGCCCCCTTTGCCAGATTTCAGGGAGGCCCTGGGGACCCCTCCAGTCCAACCTCACTGCACAAACGGGAAATAGAAGGGGTGTTCCAGGAAAGTCAGTTCTAAACAGAGAGAGGCCTAGGATGCAGGGAGACCTGGGGTCCCTGGCACCCCTTTCCCGACATACCACACTACCTTCTCAGAAAACTGGCTGCAACGCTTACCCCATCCCATCCCTGAATACGTTCTTATCACACACGCGATCCCTGGCCAGTGGCAAGAGTCAGCAGACTCTTCCTACCAAATCCCCGCTCGGGTCTGTGGCTCTCAGGCCAGGACCCCACGCCCTGGCAGGAGACCATGGTCGACGGTGAGACTCGAGGCTTAGGGGGCCAAGGTCCAAGCAGTAAATGGCTGGGTCCTGCCAGCTCAGTTCACGCGAGGTCCAGCCTCTACTGTCAGCAAGGGCTTGGAAGCTGGAATCACAGTACTTTATGTTCACTTGATCTCTTGCCAAAACTGAGGCTACTTAAAGAACATGGAAGATGTTTAGAACAATTAAAATCTGTGTGAGCAAGACTTGGGTTACAGAAACTTTAAGGGACAAAATCGAAGCCTACAGATTCAGGTCTCCATACTCAAATGCATAAAAGCATGGGCCAACCCTGCTATGAAATGCTGAAATTGCACTTGGGTCTTTATTTCAGTTAAATATCCAAGATCTGTCACTTTCCATGAAGGACTCAGGCACTGTGCTCGGAATTTTATGAGAAGCAGAGGTAAACATGACACAGTGTTTATGTTACAAAGGTAAATGCTGCCAGGATCAGTGTGACAGCATTTTTGTTTTTCTAACCTGCTACCTGTGTTTACAAACAGGAATCCTGAGTTGACTTTCATTAGGAATCTAGGTGCGCAAAGACTTCCCCAGCAGTTTAAGTCACCTTGGAGCACCCCAAGTGTGTGGCCTACAGCGGCAGGCCCAGAGCCACACACATGACAGGATGCAAATCCAGGCTTCTAGGCCCCACCTGAGCTCTATATGCTTCATGACAGCACTGAAGGACCCGCAGGTGAACCGGAAGGAGCTTATGGGCTGGGCAAGAGAGACTCCAAATTCAAAAACTCATGATTCAGCCCACAGGAGTGCTCCGAGCAGTAAATACCTGCCTGCCCTCCTCCACCACTGGTGTCTTTAAGCAGTAGACAGGAACCAACCCACCTGGGACCGCTGAAGCCATACCTTCAGTCTGGTGGGCTGACACCCTGTGCCATCAGAGGCTGTACCCAGAGCCTTGGGGCTGGGCACAAAGCAGGGCTGTGGCTAACAAGCTGTTAGGAGCTTGTCTCCTCCTAGGAGCTTCCAGGCCCTGCTCACAGCTGAGTCCTGCTCTCACAGCCTGCTGTGATAAATCACTCCCAAGCATCACCATCAAGTATTTTTTAGGAAGTTCCCTTTATGTTGTTCAATTATATCCATGGAAAAATATTCCCTTCCAGTAGATACCATTCTCAGACAGCTGCCACAGGACATTAGTCAGCAGTGACACACTAACCCTGCCTGAACCATGAGCACCCATGTTATTGGATTCAGAAACGGGAAAGCAAGCCTCGGGAAACTGAGTATTCACGTACAATGATGTTTAGCAAAGTAATATGATGAGTAAAACGGTGAACAGTAAACATCAGTAAAATGTCCTACAGTGCAAGATTGGCCGAACGGTCTCAGGGAACAGCACTGAGCAGTTAGGACTGCGTCATAATGCGGGGAAAGGCCAGCAACAGGTGCTGAGCACTCAGGCCAACAGAGTCTACAAGACGCCAAGGTGAAAAGGGATACACCAAAAGAGCGGTTGGCTGAGCTGCAAATTCTCATTTTCATTTTCCCACAGTCCAAGTCTTTTCCCTTAAAAAAAAAAAGCGGGGGGGGGGGGGGAGTCAAAACTGGGAGCATGGAACTCCATATGGGTCTCCCATCTAGGTGGCAGGGGACTTGGGTCAACTGCTACCAGGCACATGGCAGGGTGTGGCTCTGCCAGCCCAATAGAAACCTACCACCTGTGTCCTACTTCAGGTTCACTAATGGAATCCTCCCTGTGTGTTTTGCGACCAGTTAATGTGAACCCTCTGTGTCTCTCACCAGCAGTGCCCTTCCTTTCCCGTGGCCACCCATGACCCGGGGACTTCTCCACTGGACTTGGCAGCACTTCCCTTCTCCAGCCTCTAGTGGACTTTGTGAAGGCTCCACCCTTCATGTCATGGCCACCGCCAGTGACCCACTGGAAAGGACATTTTAGCTTGGCTACCAGGCCCATCTACTTCCACTTCCCCATCAGATCCCATGCTCAAGGACTCAACTTCCAAGGACACCAGAGGCCAGACAAGATCACAGAATCAAAACTATCTCTTTGAAAATCCCTGCAACAGCCAGAGAATAGCCTAAATGCCCCTCCCCCACCCGTACCTTTCTGTAGACACACCCTAAGAGTAATTTTCACATGCTGGCAATTCTACATACAACTAACCTATGACAAGACCGTGAGCATGTACATGGGTCAAGTCTACATGCAGAGAGCTGATAGTCCATCTACTGCACCAAATTCCTCCTGGGACTGGAACGCGTGGTGAATTTCAACATCTCCTGCCTGCCTATCCGGCCTGCTCTACCCTGCTTCAAATTTACACTCATCCATCCATTCACTTATTTATTTTTCGGGGGGAGGCAGAGATGAGACCTGAACAAGGCAAACTGGCACTGGACATGGGTGTCTGCGGCAGTAGCCAATGTCCACATTGTCCACATTCGGCATCGTCTCCACATGAAGATTTCTTTGTTGTAGAGCAGATTCAGAGTCTGTTCTCAACGTGGCAGCCTGGTTCAATGGGAGCATTAACACAACTGTAGCAACACCAAGCCTCTCTCAAATAACTGCTCCCTCATGGCCCTACATCTTTGCAAAAGACTGGAATGTTCTCCTACATTCATCCTCCTTCTACCAAGAGAAGTTCTTCCTCCTCACTTAAGAGCCAAGTCAGACCTTCTCCATGTAGTCCCAGAGCCCTCGGCACCTGCCTGCAGAATTGTGCTGCCACACCGCAAGGTCTCAGCACAGCCCAGCATAGCTGCCCAGGAACCAGCAGGAACTGCAGCACACAGCAGGCCAGGGCGGGCAGGAGACAAGGATGGAGAGATGCTGAATGTATGACAACACGCAGATGGAAGTTACGGAGGAGCTGTGGTCACCTCTGGCCTGGATCATCTTGTGTCCTTGAAACAGCCAGACTTCGGTGGGCAGGCAGGTCCAACCCGGGCTGTGGCTGAGCTCTGCTGGCCCTAAGCCCCGTAGGACTGTCTATGACACTGAAATCACCAAGTGCCAGCCAGGTGGCCCCTTGTTCTGCCTGCATGGCTGATAACATACATTTTAATTGTTTCTATCTTAATCACCTCGAGAAGTACAATATAAGCAAAGTAAAAAACAGTCCAGGCTATGTTTAGCCCTCATGTTTTCCCCTTCACTCAGAGAACAGAGAGCAGTTTGCTGGGTCAGGTCATCAGACAAAAGAAACAGGAATAGAAGCTGATTTTTAATGGCAATGTGCCCCGAGCACTAGTCACACTGTACAAAGAACCCTGGAAGGACTCAGAGAAGAGGATCCCGGCACCCCATGCAGGATCACTGCACAAACAACCATAACTCTTTCAGAGGTGACAATGGCCAGCGACACAGGGAGGCCACAGGGCAATGGTCACTTGGTGTCCTGGAAAGGGAGTGGCTTTGCTTTGCAACCTCTGTTCTTGGAGTTACATAATTTCTCAGTGCTACTGTGACAAGGAAAGCGTGGGTCTGGCATAGAACCTAGGTCTGGCCGCCATCACTGTCACAGTTCCCAGGCCTGGCGAATCCTCTTCTGGATTCTTCTGCAATGCGGGTCAGATCTCCGTGGCATCAGGCATGAGTGAGGGCCCCAATTCTCCCAATGAAGCTTCCGCTCCAGCTGCAGAAGCACCCTGTGGGCTGTTTGTTAAAATGTGGTCTCCTGAGCTGTGTCCCTCTCTCGAACAGGCAAAACCACTGAGGGTAGGAATCTGCATTCCAAAAAACTCCCCAGCTTGTTTTAATACAAAAGTGTTAAGAACCGCTACCCTGGACCACAGGCCACAGGAGCCTCACGCTCGGAAAATGGCTGTTGGACCAGCAGCCCAGCTGGTGACACCCAGGAAGCTGCAACCATTGGACGATGCTCATCTATAGATCTGCATCCGTAACATCGTCAGGAGCTGGCGCTTTGCTTTTGGTTTGTGTCAATTACAGGAAATAGAACTGCAGACAAAGACGGCTCCACTCATCCAATCCTGGGATGCCCCAGCTTCCCAGCCCATGAGGAGCCTGATGGCTTCCCTCACAGCCACCGGCCAAGGCCTCCAAATCCCGTGCACAGGAAGCAGTTCAAGCCTCGCAGTTTCTCCCCGAGAACATGCTGCAGCCACTCAGGGGCAACCCTCAGCCCACAAGTGGAGGCCAGCCTGGTGGTAACGACACACAATCCTTACATCCTGCACAGTCCATACTGCTCGAAGCTTTGGGAGTACCTGCAGCTGTTCCATGTCCCCGCCAAGCCCACCTGTGCTGCTTCCAAAAGCACACAGGTGTGAGTATGTGCAAGTGTAAACACACATGGGCTTTGCCTACAGATGAGAAGTGGTCACACATACACCCTGTGCCCCTGGACTTCGGCTGGGCAAGGTAGGTCTAGCTCAATGACTAAATTGGAAGTTTCTGGCTGGACTCCCCACAAGAACTGGGGACCATATGGGGACAAAGATGCCAGGCCACAAAGCCTAAGTGACAAGGTTCTTGTGTCACCAGCTCCTAAGCAAGCAGGGCAGAGGCTGCTGGGCGCACTGAAGCAGGGACTGGGAGGAACACAATGACATCACCCTCCAGTGCTCAGCTTTCCATTTCTGCTG